TACCTGCATTGTTAAATGAAATAATGATCAACCATAATATTGAACATTACTTATTATATGTTTGAAGGAATTTAATAATGAATCATTCATTATATTATGTGTTATTTTAAACATTTCTGGTTCAGTAAAGGATTTTTTAAAATAATTTAATATCGATTTAAGTAATGCAATACGTTGATGATAACATTTTGATTGTGAAATTGATGATATTGGAGATTGTATATCAATTGTTGTTGATGTTGTTTCTTGGTTAATGTCTGATATATCAATTATAAATGGTTGTTCTTTTTTACATTGAGTTATTTCATACTAAAATATATAAAGAATATTTTTATTCAGTAATGTTGTTTTTGTTTATCAATAAAAAATTTTAAAATTAAAAATGAGTTTTGATCAGAGACTTTCATTTCTAATGAAAACTCCCTCATGCTCTATGAACCGTTCGAAAACCACCGGTTAATTTCGGTTATTTTCTCGATCGTCAATTAACCGAAAAAAGAAGCAGTCGGTGTCACTAGCTGTCCGGTTACTTTTCTGATTAACTGGGCGTTTAACCGATTCAACGATCGATAAAATAGCTGAAATTAACCGACGGTTTATACAATATTGATGAGTAGTCAGATGATGTAAGCGACGATTGATTCTGCTCAGTCAAAGTTTTAAAACTTTTGCTTGCATCTTCAACTAGTCTTTAGTAGACATGAGCAAAGTTGTCTTTTTTTGGAATCAAAATTTTTCACTTCGTGACTAAAGAGTAGCTGTAGATTATTCACACGTATCATTAAACTGACCGCACCCGCACCCATACCCATAACGTACTTGAAAACGATTAATAAATATTTGTAAACCATTATTTGTTTGAAATGAAGTCATATCTAATCTTGTTATTAAATCAATAATATGTATAGCTCGTGTAACCAACTAAAAAGAAAAAATCTTATTCCATTAAGAGAAAATTTTTCTCTATTTACCACAAGAAAATCTTGAGATTCATCATAATAATTAATAATTTTTATGAATGATTGTGCTATATCACAATTAACCAAAGCTTGACCACTTTTTTCATCTTTTGCTAAATGATATAGAAAAGACAATAATTCAATTGATAACGATTGTGGAAATCGATCATTATTATCATCTAGTCAATGCAAAACAATATTTCAATCAAATAAGAAAAAAAACTATTTTATTAGTTAATTTCTCAATACATTCTCGTACAAATGTTGGTAAAAATCCATGATATGAATTAATTTGTGTTACTTTAATTATTTCTTCTAAATATGATAAATACCTTAAATAAAAATAAAATATTTAAAACAAAATTTTTTTTTTTAAATTAAAATTTTACTTTATTGTATTTTTAAGATAAACCATTGAAGTTAAAGTTTCTAATGCTGATACTTTAATATCCTAATATAAAATAAAATATTTCATTACTTATTTTCTTTTTCTTTAAAGCTACTGTTAATATTGGATTTTGAATATTTAATATTTCAACAAGTTCTTCAATTAAACCATCATATAAAATATTATTTGTTTCTTCTATTGCAACAGAATAAACTAAAACAAGACAACAAAAAATTTGATAAATTTAGTTTTCTTTCTTTTTTTTTTTTTTTTTGTTTACTAAGAATAGATAAAGCTTGTAAACGAGCTTGAATACATAATAAACGTTGATTAAATAATGAAAATGATTAAACTAAACGAAGATTTGTAAATAATTTTATTTGTTTGTCTTCAGATAATTTATGTTCATCAAGAATCATTTCCATTACAGAAGATGCATTTGATCCAACCATATGAACATTTAATATATCAATTTGTTTTGATATTGATTCAGATGTAATTGCATACGGAAAATGAAAATTTATTGCATATTCAGGAAAATTCTATGAAAAAAAAGGTAAATATATTTAAAATATGTAATTTTATATTTACTGATGAATTTTGAATACTACAACAACGAACTAAATCGAAACCATTTTCTCGACCACCCCATGTCTATGTAATAATAAATAAATAAATAATTATTTTCAAATAAAATTTAAAATTACTTCAGCTAAGAAACCAAGTCGATAAATCAATCCTTGTTTTTTATCAATTTTAAGTCTTGTTATAAAATTTGAACGTCTACTGGATACATATAAAAGTGATAAAACACCACATACAATATTTAAATCAGATGATTGTAATAATATAATTAAATATTCAATTGAATTATATATATGGCGTGAATATGAATGTTCAATTAATAATGTTGTAAAATGAAGAATATCCACTATTAATAATTTCACTAAACAGAAAAAAAAGTTATCTTTGTGGAAATCAACACTTGTCAAATCATTGAAATTTAGTTTATGATCATTGTAATTATAGAACTCTTAGTCATATAATTAACATTCAAGAATATTTTTGGATTTTTTAGAGACAATATTTGAAAATTGTACTTATGTATCTATTGAATTATTTATAATCTATTGAAGCAAACCTCTTCATTTTCTAGTTTGTCACAATTGAGCATCCATGTTCCACTTTGAATACAAGCTTCTTCTAGAATTGAATCGAATAAATCTAATACATCAATCCAATCATATAGTACACACTAAAAAGAAAATAAGAGGAGAAATTTTTTTTTATTTCAAATCTAAAAAATTTATTAATATCTAATTTACTGTTTCAATATGCCAAATAGTTATTGATTTTAATAGCTCATGAAGTTCTTGCCGATCACAACTTTTTAATTTATCAATAAATAATTTACAATTAACCGGCTATGAAGAAAAAAAGGCAACAACATTTTATAAAGAAAAAAAAATGAGAGATAAACTTCTTACTGATTCTGGTAGATATTTTCCTAATTTCGATTGATCAATTTTCATATTTGTTACCAAATACAAATAACAAAAATATCTGCAACAAAAACAAATAATAACAAAAAATATCCTCCATAATTTCACGTGAGTATATATGCAAATGAAGTGGAGATGTTTGTCAACGACGGAAGACGGACGATATGATAATGAATCAGATACGACATTTTCTCTACATATTTATAACAAGAAACTATTCAGACACAGATGAATGATTAGGGTCATCCTATGCAGCATCTTTACGACCGTAAACGGTCAAAATATGGGCTGTATACATGCCGTATTTTGTCACGACCTGACCCATGATCTACGTCCGTGTTTATGTCGTGTTCGTATTATACAGCGTGTTTACAGTTAATATACGATGACCATATACGACCGCTTTTATGCATCATATATGTCTCTATACAGTCATTTTTAGTCTACTTCGAAATGCCGTTTATAGTACTTGAAAATGTTTCCTTCATGATTAAATTCAAGTGACTCTGTATAATCAAATTTACACCATGAACACCCTTAAATACAGTTGTAAGATGCCTTAAACGAGCGTTTTTAGAATCTTACTAGCTACCTCTAGATATGAAAAATTGTATAATCCTATTATCATGACATGCACTTTCTTGTGTTCCTGTTTCACTTTTAACATTCGGAGGAAAGTATCACCAACACACACACACTAGCTTATCGTGATATCAGGTTTTGTGTAATTTGATATAACCTCAAGTTTTAAAAATGACATTATGTTTGGATGTACAGTTAACTGATTACATAAAACAACATCACATATCGAAGTGTTATTGGTGATAAGACAGAACGTTAATTAATGTTATCATACCACGTATTTACCTATTACAGAAAGAGATCTTTCTTTATTCTTTAATTTTTCTTTAGTTTTTAAAAATAAAGAATTTATATATCTTAGTTTTCTAAATAATAAAGATCTTTTTATTTATTTTGATTTTAAAAATATAAACAATAAATTTATCTTCCGAGTAAAGATAAATTAACACCCTATTCTAAAGCTTATAACAAATAACGCAAATGAAATTATTCATGTGATTCTTTATTCCTAGACGTATGCTGGATTTAGTGCCGTAAACAATATTTACAAGGCGCATTTTGTTTACATACAAAGTTTAAAAAACTGATAGTCAATTATTTATTGAACTCTTTGATTTTTATTCGACATAAAATAGTTACATTTTTTATTTGGAACATAGTATTTTATGATATATCGTTTTCATACATGATTTCGATGCAAATTTAATGATGTTCACGAAATTGAAATTTCGAAAATTATCGATGACTTTGAAATATATCAAAAAATATGTCCGTTTGACCGTTAGAAATGGTATTTTTTTAAAATTTCGGTCATTATTTTTTATCATTTTTTTATTTCATCGGTCATACCAAGGGGGAACAAATTGATTTCAATAGCTGAAATCAAGTTGAAATCACTCTAAATCATCTGAATTCACTTGAGATCAATGACAACCATTACTTATGTATTCATGTCAATTTCTCAGACTTTTGAATATGCAATAAAAGAAAACAAGAGTATCATTTTCTAATATAGTTTCTGTTGATTTTTATCACAAAATGAATAGTGAATTAACGATAAGTTCTCAGACCTTTATTCATGATAAGCTAATATTGCAACTTTACATTGATATTTATTATTATATCGAGTCATTCATGAAGTAGATGATGTAAATAGCTCTGTGCATGAGCAGGGAGAAACAAATGGATTTCGTGATTTCAAATGATTTCAAATTGATTTCAACTATTGAAATCAGTTTGCTCCCCCTTGACATTATAGTCTTACCAAGATAAAAGAATAGGATGCAATAATTTTCGATTATCCAGTAATGGTCAGCTAAAAGATAACGTCTCGCCTCTATTCAATTCCGATTCGAAATAACTGAAATGGTGATCCACTCAATTCCAATTTCAAATAATACTGACCGATTCCAAGTCAATAATCGAAGCTGGAGCCGGTGAATGAAAAAAGAATTAGGATCAATCGACGATTTGCTAAAATTCGTATAATTACTGGCTCGAAACAGTGATGGTGACAACTAAGACAACAAGCGTGAACACAGTACAGCTAAGACCAGTCATTTCATACAGCTAGTATCTCATAATGTAAAGGCATTTGAAAATGCAAAATATTCTTATAACTATGGAAGAATGTATTTTCAGGCGTCAGGATTAACATCGATGAAGCGGGTTAGCATATCAGAGACTTAAGGTGATGACCAGCTTTTCCCATTATTCGCATGCCTTTCTGCTAATAGAAGCCAGATTTGCTAACACGTCGGTAATCAACGTGGGTTTTTCACAGTTTCACCGTTCCCATCGTTAGAGGCATCTAAAACATCTTTAATAAAAGCTCGAGAAAAAAATGTTACTTTCACAATCCAGGTCACTGCTAACCGGAAAATTGACTTTGCAAGTTATCGTTAGCGGTTAAGTGCCGTCTTAATAGGAATCGACTACAAATCAAGCAGAGCATCAGTAATGCCAGTTCACCATACCACCAGGTGAATAGAGACCGTTGCGATCGGCCTATGGTGTATCGCTAGATGATTCACCCTTTATGAATCAGCAAGAATGATCAAAAATACTTAGAAGTAAAGAAAAACTATGCAAAATCGTAAATAAAGAGGAATCACTAGGAGTAATGGCAAGTATTGAAAATCAAGAAAAATCCAATGAAATCAGTGGAATTCAAAGCTTTACTGTCAACTTTACTGATGAAGATTTTCTATGATTTAGAGTGATCTTCATTGGTTTCTAAGAATTCTCCATGATTTCTAATACCTTCTGATGTTTTCCGACAGTGTTTAACCTGTTCCAGTCATAATTCATATAATTCTGGAAATAAAATGATGTTCCGTAAAATACCAGTGNGATCTATTATCCAAGGTAGCCGTTTATAACAAAAAACGGTTTCGAAGCGTTTCAAAGAAAGCTTGCTAGCGCAGCCCCTTTGGGGCTGAAATGTGGAACTTACATATATTCTCTAGCCTCATTAAATAAATATCAAATACGTAAAGTCAACAAATATGTGCTAGAGAAGTGTTTTGCTGAATAATCGATCACTAAGTATAGACCTCTCTAAATTCTTCATCTCTAACAGAGTTTTTCGTTACTTTTCAAAATAATAGCGTGATCAATTTTTTCAAAATAAATCCTATGAAATCTGTAATGGAGAGGATAGGCGGGTGAGGAACGGCCAAAACTTCGACTTAAAACTTACACTCACTGTTTTCTTCGAAAATATATGTGAGTTACACAAAAAAATTACGTTTGAATAGAAGTATTTTGTACAAATCTCAAGCCTTTTATTTTGAAGCTTTTCATTTTGGTAGAGGTTTCACAACTTGCAAAAAAAAAATACGTCTCCTCATATGTTATTTATTAAAACAGCAAGAATTTTCGTTGATTCAGGTAAATGTTACGACCTATTCAAAATTAATTTTTTTTTTCGTGAAAAGATGAAAAGCTACTCATAGATTTGATTAGATATAAGTAAAAAATGACTACAGGTTTTTTTTTCTACCAATCCTTTCCCTTAGTATTCTTTCAAAATGGTTTCAATGTCTGTCGATCGTTTTTGCATAAGGTGCATGTCTCATCCGATAAATAATCTACTGAAATTATTTCGAGTTTCCTAAACTAGTTCCAAAATCTAAATATGCATTGTGTTGTGCTCGTTTTGTATTTGTTTACAATATAAAATTCAATACATAATGACTAGTAGAACTACTTTTAGGGCTACTTGAGGGTACCCTTATCTCTATATTCTTGCAGCAATGCTACTAGCCTAAAGCCTTATACCTATATTCTTGCCTCAATAACCATATACCTATCCTCTTATTTCTGTGGCATAACTCCGAACGTTTATCATCGTACCTCTATATCTTTGTACTTGACTGTATACTCGCATGCTCACACTCTTACATCTATTACTAGCATTTACATTTTCATACTCACACTCTAATTATTCTTACGTCTTTGTCGCTGTAACTTCACTTTTAGATCTATGCTCTATTAGCTAAATATTCTATAAGGTCTTTTTTTTTAAATAATAATGTGAACTTTTTGTCATAAAACTCAATATTTCGGCGAAACAAATGTATGTGTATAAGTTTTCTCGATGAGCGCCAACTATCAATTAATTTAGAAAGATAGTAAAATAATGTATAATACTTACCAAAAGGATATTACAATTCATAATCAGAAAAACATATACTTTTGTAAAAATTTATTCGAAGAGGATACTCTATTTCTTGGTTTTTAGTCAACCTTACTTTTATCTGTGTGATATAATAAATTTACTAATCCATAAATAAAATACAAATACAATTGTGTTTTTTTAAATAAATAATCAAATAATACGGAGCAGTGATGGAATTGGTTCCTGTTTTTCTTGAACTGAACCGATCTCACCTCTGATACAAAGGAATAAAAGCTACAGAGAATTGAATTTTCTTTTATTTATGGTATGAAGGGTGTGGGTGTAGAGGGAAGCAACACCCACATCCACACACACGCACACCCTGTTCGTCATCATAAACAACACTTAATATCGGGTGTTTCGAAAGTTTTCACGAAGAAAACAACTCGAATAGCTGTCAAACAGTTCATGTCATATGTATGAGGCTTTTATGATTTAAAATGATGGTACCAAGTGAGAAAATATCTTCTCTCGATTACTCTCCACTGGCTACATATCGTCTTATTTTCTGATGACGAGGCACTTTTAGTGTGTAAGATAACAAAAATCAAACAAACCAGAAGAAGAAGAGCGAAAGAGACTAAAAGTAATGGAATTGAAAGTTCTATTCGATAGTCATAAAAAATGTAATACAATAGCTTTTATGATCAAGCTCACAGTAAATACTAAAGTGATTGATAATAATTACTTTGATGTCATACCAGTTAAGTGTGATATATTCAGAAGTACTTCATATGACATCACTTTTCTACGACACTCCTTTGTT